TAGATGTGTATACACATACGCGTGTCGTTATAAGATTATATTATATAGATCGAGAGAAAAAAAATCGCGAACGCGCGCGTGCGAAGGGAACGAGAGCGAGAGGCGTGAGAATGTGCGTGTGTGAGCGAAAAACGATGAGCGCGAGTGTGTGAGTGCTGATTGGCGAGAGATATCGGTTGTTACGATACATACATAAAGTATATATTGTATTAACTAAAAAAAAAATAGTGGAGGGTGGAGAGGGGGGAGAGGAGAACGGTGATTACCGAGTCTTGCCGGGATGATCCGAGGATGACGCGATAATACTATAATCGAGGTCTGATGTTTCATGAGAAATGAATCTCGGTTGGCCGCTCGTGCGACATAGAGAGACCGATATTATTGCACCGTCAAACATGAGAATACAATGGACGGGCGAATTCAGCGAATAGCATCGACGAAGAGTAGAGCTTATATTGCAGAGGACGAGGAACCGTGAAACCGCGCCGGAGTTAAGTGTTAATTAAACACGATAATGACGACGACGGGGATGTCTCCATCCTCTTTAGAGTTTTCTCCGCGAACATTCACTCGAGTCATCTTTCGATTCTGCCTTGCCCCTGTTAATTACCGCACCTGTATATCGATCGTTAATGACGTAATTATTAGTGATAAAGAATATGTGATGATTATACGGGGTTGATAAATGCTAGGAAATTAAGAAGTTTAACGGAGATTGTTATAAGTAAAAAGGAAAGAAACTTAGGAACAGATTAAAATAGAAAGAATAAAAGTTTAAGACCAGTTATGGCTGGAAATATCGAAATAGAAAAACAACGGAAATTGAAGAGCTGATATATCGATCGTCGTTATTGTGAATCGACATGTACATACGAATAACTGTGAAACAATTGGAGCTTCTTTTACTTCTCGCGCAGCTTGTAAAGGAACGATTTGTTCGCTAAATGTTCAAATGTTGATTAAGCAAGGATATAAGTATATAGCGAGTACGTATTACGGCATATTCTATTTAAAGATACGACGTGGAGTTTGCTCTTTTTAATCAGATTGTCATATTAATACGTATTATATTATCCATTCGATAGGCGAAATTTTTTTTCAACTTATTAGTAAGAATATTTGGCGAATAAACGTTTCTTTCTACGTACAATTGACTTAAACGCAAAACATCGGCTGCGGTTACGCGTTTTGTCGCCGCCGCGAGTTCGAGTAGTGATTCGAGTATAGTTCTGAGCTACTTTATAGCATAAATACACATATAAATAAATAAATAAATATATGAATATATAAATAAATAATTATATATAAACACTATATATATAAATATATATATGAGAGTATATTTCGGTGGAACAACCGAGATTCGACAGTCCTCGTACGATTGACGAGAATAACGGGCGTTATGGATAATGATTTCGTCCGTGGACCAACCCGGCCAGATCTCATGGATAACGGTGACACGTAACACGCTCACGAATCCATACATATACATACATACATACTTATATACATACACACGCAGAGGCAGACCGAGAGAAAAAAGAAAGGGAGTGAAAGAGAGAGAGAGAGAGAGAGAGAGAGAGAGAGAGAGAATGAAAGTGAGAGCGAGAGAGAAAAACGTTATACGAATCGATATGCGCGGATGCGACTTTCACGGATGCAGGCGTAAATAGAGCTAACCGACTGCATTATGCGCGCGCATTAAAAACATTTTTGGTACTATACGGCACTTGTATGACGCGTCTCTCTTTATACGTAAACCCGTACTTCTTATGGATAAAAAAGATGAAAAAAAAATATGACACAATAGCCTGTTGTCGCGCGCTGAGATACCCTCACGAGGCGTTTACATTATATACGCACCGTCACCGGCTTTCCTCGCTATCGTCGATCGTTGATCGAAGATCAAGATGAAGATCGAGATGGATTTTATTAAACGGCTCACCGTTGTTCGTCAACACTTTCGCGACCGCTCGCATATTTTTAGATGAAAATTACGTCGTTTGGTGCCGAATCGATTAAAAAGTATTCGTACGCCATTACTTTTTTGCTATAAATAACATTACGTCGCGAAGAGCAGGCTGAAATAATAAAAATATTTGTATACGCTACATTGTAATTTTATTATAAGTATCTTTAACTCTCGTTGTATGTAATGCAATATTAAATCCTTTAAAAAGTTGTATGGATGGTAATATCGATAGAGAATAATATGAGATACGTATGTGGAATTACAGCATTTCTTTAATTTGAAAGTTACTTATAGCGATGACGTGCGAATACTAGTTGTTTCATTCTATAATGAATTTCTTTAAAATAAACTATATAAATATTGCAGCTACTTATGTAAACCCTAAACGGTATAAGCGGGGTCTGACAGACCGTTTTTAATTACCAGACGTTATAGAAATTTTTTATAACGCTCTATTATTATTATTATTATTATTTGTATTTATAAAGTTTAATATAAATGAATAAAATCTAATTTCCACACGTAAATATTTCGGACATGTTTTATTTTTATATAATTATGCATATAATTACTATTTATGCAACATCTCCTTTGTATGTCGGCCCCTTTATATTATGTAAGTAAAATAATTTATACTGTTTAGGGTCTCCACAGAAATATTATTTATTTATAACTCATTATCATATTCTTCTCAAAAACTAAAAACACGAAATAATGCATAATGCTCGAAGTTATAAAGATTTTTTATAGGCGAACATTTAATTTGTATATTTATATCGAGTAGCATAATTTTACATTAAAAAACATAATATAAATACAATTGCGAATTTTAATAAGTTAAATATATCGATATTAAAGTTATATTAATTTACAGTTAAAAAGTAGTGGTCGCGAAAGTGTTAAGAGTGTATTGTTATTAGCTTTACATGTACATACATATATACAGCTCGATTTTTATTGCGTATTTATATATTTTTATTCTTTCGATATTAGATAACATGAGTATTAATTTCTCGCGTTGGGACAATTATTCAATCTTAAATGACAACTTAAATGACAATTTATACAGTGATTTCATCGTTAAAATGGATTTTTAATAATTTGTTAATGTTAAAGCGAATTTTACATACAACCATCTGATAATATTCAATATGATAATATTTATGATAATATAACATTAGAATTGCTCATCAATACGATAACTTAATAGATTATCGATATTTCATTCATCTGTCAAACTTTGCAAACAGTAGAGAATGCTAATTTTTAAGATTTAACTTTTTTTGCTTGAAACATATATCTCGATTTTATCAGATTTTGAGTGCTTAATTTTTCCTTTTTAAAATTGTTTGAATTTTTAGATCAATTTAATCCTTAAATTCTCGAATAGTTGAGTCTTTTGTATATATTTTAATTTTTTGAATACTTTATAATCTTTCAATTTTTGTTATATGTTATATGTCTATTTCTTGTATTTTCAAATTGTCTAAAAAATTGTTAAATTTCAAAATCATTGCCAGAACAGCAAAGAATGAATAAATAAATTGCTTTTGCTTTCAACTGATAATTTTATCTTACTTAAGATTTGAAATTATTGTAAAATTTTTAACTTAATACGAGTGAGCATGATTGTTTTTTTATTCTCTTCGAGAATATCTATTTGTTACAAAAATAAAATATTTTAAAATAGTTTTAAGATAAAATAAAATCAGAATTGCGCAATTCTAATTGTACGATAAGTAGTCGAGGAAGAAATAACTTTCGGATGCATATTCTAGGTCAATTTTATTTTATATATAAATTTTTTGCTTACTGTCTAAAAATGACAAATATATGTATATATATA